AGTTCCTCTTTTGGCTCTGCTCATTCAAAACTGTGTTTCTTCATGCACTTGGGGAATGGCACACATCAATAATTAATGTCTGCCAAAAAAAGAACCTGCATCCTATTTGCTGTCAGAGTCAAAACTGAAATACTGATTCTCCTTGGATAGAAACATTTTAAAAACACCCTAACATAGGTGTGGTATGTGAATACCAGTTATGAGGGATTCTGTTTCTGTTTAAGCTTAATTCTAGGTTTTATGTTATACTTTGGGTATAAGAGAATGCTGTGCTCCATCATTGATCAAAATGTCACTGATTAAATGGTCTTGCACCCTAACAAGTAGCTATTCCTTCATATTATATCCAAGAGCCTCATGAACTGCAAAGACAATGTACTGATTGTGCACAACCAAGACAATGGATTCAGAGACCTTTCTGTGATCTTGTTTTATATGAACACTACATAAATTATGAATCAACTGTTGTGGAGCCTCAGTGATGTTCAAATATCCATAATGCATTACAATCCTTGACAACTTAAACATCTTTTGCATAAATAATAAAACCCATTTCAAAGCGGGATTCTAAAAGCCAAATCTTCTAAAGACAGACTGCAAATATGGGGTCTATTCCTGCGTGCCACTAAGTTTTGAGCACATTAAACAAAAAGTAAGACTGGGCCTAGGATCAGCCTAGCAAGTCTGATGCTCTGTGACTTAAATTCAATCAGAAAAGTGTCATGACAGAACTAAAAGTTTAATGCGAATCTAATAACTGCAGAATTTAGAATCAGAGCTAAGTTAGGCTAGAAGGGCCCTCCAGAGGGCATCTAGTTCAACCCCCTGCCTGAGGCAGGATCATCTCTATCCAAACCATCCTCTACAATCCATGTAACATCAACATCAACTCCTGGGAGACTAATCACCCAGAACTGCCCCAAATGGAGGATGAGTCTGCTGCAGGGATCGCAGTACTTTGAAATTGCACGACAACAGGAAACGGAAAAGCAGGACTAACAGAAACAATGTGTCGTGGACAAATAAAAAAAAAATCCAGTACCACCCACCCCACATGGAAACACATATTCGAGCTGCATTAGTCTGTCAATCCTGGATGGACCTCATCAGCCATCTTCGACCACAGAGATAAAACAATCATGGAAGACCATCATCCCTGACTACGAGGGATTGCTAAAGAACATACAATGCATAATATAAACTCTACAAAAGACTACTGTCAACACAAAACAGACCCAATGCCCTAATCTGCCACAGACAAAGGTCCCAATGTCCAGCCTTTATGAAATGTCATCAATATATGCTCAGGAGGTCCCGGTTAGAAGAATCTGAAGCTGAAATCTGTCTACCCAGTGGTCTTTGGAGAAAAGAGCAGGTTGCACTTGTTCATTCCAAACAAAACTGAGGATGATCTTCCTTGGACCAAAAGCAGGTTTTAATATTGAACTGCATAATGACAGCAGTTTCTTAACCCACCCTGCCACTTAATAAAAAAAAAAAAAAAAAAAAAAAAAGGATTGGGTGGGGAACAGAAATTCAGGACACAGAATCAGAGAGAAGCTGGGCTGGAAGGGACCTCCAGATGGCACCTAGTCCAACCCCCTGCCTGAGGCAGGATCATCCCTATCCAAAACATCTATCATCTGAACTCTGCATAAGACTCCCATCACCCTGGACACAACACAGACCTAACAACGCCCTAACCTGCCACAGGTAACTCAAGGGAGCCACAGCTGCCAACGCCCTGCTGTAGAAAAAGGTTAAATGAATAAACAGCATAATTCTTTTAAAAACACCATCAAACTATCAGACAAAGGGGTAACTTTGATGGCATTGTTTCCAAGTGGAAGATACCTGTCCTTATACCATAAAATCATAGAAAATGAGGGTTGGAGGGGACCTCTGAAGCCATCTAAGCCCAACCCCTGCTCCAAGCAGGACCATTCCCAGCTAGATCATCCCAGTCAAGGCTTTGTCTACCTGGTCTTAAAAACCTCCAAGGATGGAGATTCCACAGCCTCTCGGGGTCAGTGTTTCTCAACCCGTGCAAGCCAAAAATGGGTTCCAAGAATATATGAAAGGGCCATGAACAAACTTAAAAAATGGATTCTCCTTTAGAGGACAAAATATTTGGGAAACTGAAGCACTGCCCTGGCATGCTGCCAGAGTCCCAGCCTGAGAGGGGCTACTGGGCACTGGGGGGAGACCGGCCCTCAATGTTTACAAGTGGGCAGGGGGAAAAAACAAAAGGTTGAGAGCTGCTGCTCCAGGTGACCTGCTCCAGTGCTTCACCACCCTCCTCATGAGAAAGTTTTTTTCCCCTCAGAGCCAACCTCAAACTTCCCTTACTGCCACATCGCTCGCCATGAAGGGCATCCTTGGATTTCTAGAGTCCGCACAGATCTCCACAGACATTTCTCTATCCAAACACTGCCCAGCAATTGGAGATGCAGACTCAAAAAAAAAAAAAACAAACCAGGCTCCTTAGACTGGCCAGAGCAGGCAGAACACCAGGATGGAGAGAGAGAAGCAGCGGGAAGCGGCAAGCAACAAGTGAAAAAAAGGACTTCCCGAGCCGGCTGGGAAGTCCTGCCGGGCCCGTGCGGGGGCAGCTGGAGCTCGGCGAGGGGAGAAGAGAGGGGCAGAGGCGGGCAGGGACGTGCAGCGCCCATGCCTGGGCCAAGCCGGCCATCTAGCGTCGAGCTGCAGAAGTGAAGGCGCACACAAAAGAGGGAAGAAAGAAAAGGTAGAAAAAGAGAAACA